GCGATGGTCTTGTATTCCGCCGGTACCGAAAGTTTGATCGATTGTGTGTTCCCAACCATGCACCTCTCCGGAGTCATTTCTTGGATTTGGCACATGGTTGGAGTGGACTTTTCGGCTTCGAAAAGACATATGGGAGTCTTTTGCAGCAGTTTGATTGGCCGGGAATGAAGGGATCTGCTCAGAAATTCATCGCTGAGTGTCAAGTCTGTCAAAGAACAAAGGTCCATAGGCATAAGCCTTATGGCCTGCTGAGACCCCTCCCAATTCCTGATGGTCCTGGGGAGTCGGTCTCTATCGATTTCATGGACATGGGAAAGGTGAGTGCAGCAGGGAATTCACAAGTTATGGTGATTGTGGACCGCTTTTCTAAATTTCTGAACCTGATCCCTCTACCTCTTCATGCACCGACTGAGCTAGTAATTGAAGAATTCCATCAGCAGTACATTCTGCAGTTCGGCGTCCCGAAAACTATTGTGAGTGATCGGGACACCAGATTCATCAGCAAAGATTGGAAAGACTTCACGTCTCAGATCTACGACATCAAACTGAACAGGACTTCTGGTTGACACCCCGAAGCCAACGGATTGGCCGAGGAGATCAACCAGGTTGTCATCCAACTGCTACGCGCACTACAACAACTCCATCTACTCTGCAACTGGTGTGACACCAAATCAGTTGCAGTATGGATGGCCGATGCGCAATCCCCTCTCCTATCTATTCCCCAAACTGTCACCTGGTCTGATACCCGGCATGCCTGGCTACAATGCCAAGTACGCACACTTGCTCAAAGCTATAGATAAAAAAGAGAGTGTTCGTGAGACCGAACGGAGTGAGTTTTGCAGCAAACTTAGCGGTCTGTCCGTCAACAATCTGTCGTTCATATGCGTTCACAACATGTGGAGCACTCTTCAACAGCTCTTTCCGGTCGATCCAGAAGAATTCGTTCAACGGGGGTAGAGGAAGTGAACCTTGTACTGTCTGTTCCTCCCTCTCCCTTCGTGAGAAACCATTCTGTCAATCTCATGGCCGCCGTTGATAGGGCAAGGTATCATAGGATCTCGGAAGGGAAATGTCTCATCATCAATGTGTGGGAACAGTTTGGATGCATGAAAGACCGGATACGTGCGCAGATGAGGAGGCACGTCAATCACAAAAAGAAGGACCAAAGTCATCCCCGACTATCTTCAGAATCTGCCAAGGGCCGTAGTACAATGGAAGAAGCTTCCGTGAGATGCCCTCTTCATCAGAAAACTCAGACATTTTGACCCAAACATAATCCCCAACTTTGATTTTTTCTTCTTTGCGCAGCTTGTTAGCATGTTTGATCATGGCATGCTGGCGCTTGTGCCGACTCTGACTGAGTTACTCGCTCGAAGGGACCTCGCTCTCGAGAGGGGAGTAATGTGATGACCCGCCAAAAACATAGACTGAGAACACTGCTGATTTCTGGGATTTGTCACTGGAATGAATGCCTTGCTGAGATTCCCGCATTCTGCTGTGGTTCCAAGTCTGTGTGTGTGCGTGTCTGCTGGTTTGCATGTCTGTCTGAGTGCTTGCCGGTTGAGTGTGTGTGCGTGCCCCGCAAGGGTACTAGTTGGTTGCAAGGCCCCATCGGGCCGGTACTTACCTGTGGCCGTGACTGTGAGGGTTGCGGGGGGGGTAAACACGTCGGTAGCGGGGAGTAGGCCCACGACACTTAGAGCAGCTGGGGAAAACACTAAAGTAGCAGGTAGGCCGAGCAGAAGAAGACAAAAAGTTGGCATTTTTAGAGGCCCAGTAGCGGTAGGTTAGAGGTAGGCCGGTACCAGTCCAAGTAGCCCGGGTCTAGGGCCTGTGCGGACAATAACAGAGCCTGAAATGATGTTTCCCTCCGAAAGGGAGGAGGTACCGGTTGCTGGGAGGCCACTCGGCCTAGGAAGTCACCGCCCAGGAGGCCGGTAGGCCGCTATATCTTCAGGAAGAGCGGAGAGCTCTTCCTCATTTGCGGTGTGCAAGGATTGGCGACATGCTGCTGGAGCACAGCGCTGGAGGTACAGCGCTGCTAGGAGGGAGRAGGGCTGCTGGGAGCTCAGCCTGGCTATGGCGAGCAACCCAGTTTGAGAAGGAGGAAGAAGGGAACATGGAAGGAGAGCGGCAGGGCACTTACCTGGCTATGGTAGACACCATCTTCATCACCTGGTTGGGCGCTGCATCTGGAAGGCCCCGGTTGGGGTAGTGCGGCACCTGGGGAAGCCCGAGGCAGAGGTAGGCATAGCGGATCAAGCCAGCAGCGGCATAGCTGCATTGAGTGGTCCTTTGGGCATCAGGGCCAGGCCCTGATTACTCCGCCATAGCCTATGCTTGAGAGAGGAGGCTGAAGGAGGGAAGCCATAGCTATGGTGGACTGGTTGTTGTTGTTGTTGTTGTTGAGTTGAGTCAGCAGTAAGAGGGAACTTCGGATATTGATTCTGGTTCATCCATTCATTGTTATTATTATTATTATTGAGAGAAGAATAAGGTGGAGAGAGAAGGGGGAATTGTCATTGGTCTTGCTGGTGTACTTCTTCTTCTTCTTCTTCTTCTTCTTCTTCTTCTTCTTCTTCTTTACCTCTCCTCTTTATCTCTTTGCAAGTGCTTTCATTTCTTTCGCAATTGGGTGGCATTGTCTTTCATTGTGAATTTGCACTTGGGAAATGACCAGGATCGTAACATAAGTCTTTCACTACTCGAATACAATGGTATTTTACACCAGGCAAATCTTTGACTCTGAAACGGTTTTCACCTTTGCAGAGGCAGATGCAGATCCCGGGGTTTGATCCCCAGACCTTACCTCGCCCATGTATAGTATCGAGTTGACCCTTGCGTGCTTGAACCCATGACCTGTGTTTCATGAGTTGTTGTTTGTTTGTCGTAGGACTGTGTGGACATAGGGATTCGATCTGTAGACCTGTCGAGTAGAGGTCTTAGGGAGTTCCAGAAGTCGTAGCTGTAGATATCCCGAAGGGTCAAAGTCGTAGCTGCTACAGTCCTGAGAGGTCAAGGTCGTAGCTGCCTACAGTCCCGAAAGGCCAAGTCCACAGACTTCCAGAAGGTCCGGAAGTGGCCTTTCGCAACTTGCTCACATTTTAGACGTGGGCAAGTGGGCAAGTGGGCAAGTGGGCAAGTGGGCAAGTGGGCAAGTGGTGGACCAACTGCAGTACGTTCGCAGTACGATAGCGGTAGGTTAGCAGTGCGTCCCCATGCAGTCAGCGGTACCGTCCAGTCAGTCCCAGTCCAGTCCAGCAAGTACCATGAGGGACTGAGTGCACCATGGGCCGATGGGAAGGGGCAGACCTACGAGTTACAGAAGTATAAATCAAGAGGCAGCGCACAGCATTCATTCATTCCTGTGGAAGCCATGCGGAAGCGCTGCCAAGGTGACTTGTGCGAGGTGGTCTGCGGAGGAGCCTGAAGTCGAAGTGGGCTAGAGGGAGTTAGCGCAGCCATAGCTGCTTGTAGAGTAGAGTTAGCTGGCGGCCATARCTGCCATAGTTAGTAATAGGTGTGCATTCGTGTGTGTGCAGAGTGTGTGCGTGGGGTATCCAGGGTGATCCRGAGTTGAAGTGTGAAGTGAACAGTGGTGCTGGACACAGTGACAAGAGTTGCGATGTGTGGGTGCTGATGCACCATAGCCTGTTGAAGCGAGCTTGCATCTGAACTGTGTCTTGGTTTCCATATCTTCGGGCTTTGAGTTGGGCGCTATGCGCCAGCGTGATTCACCATATGTTTGTATGCATGTGAAGTGACGAAGTATGCGAGTCTGATTGCACTGGTATCAGAGCTGGTACCCGCTACTGCATGCGCATCGCCGTTGTAGCAGGTGAGAGACGCATGGGCACCATAGCTGAAGTGCGCCACCTTTGAAGAAGAAGTCCGCCATAGCTGCACTGCGGAAGAAGCTGACGCGTACCTGCACAGGAGGACAACGACGAAGAGAGAGAGAGAGAGAGAGAGAGAGAGAGAGAGAGAGAGAGAGAGAGAGAGAGAGAGAGAGAGAGAGAGAGAGAGAGAGANGAGAGAGAGAGAGAGAGAGAGAGAGAGAGAGAGAGAGAGAGAGAGAGAGAGAGAGAGAGAGAGAGAGAGAGAGAGAGGGGCTGAGCGATACAAGACTGGCTACCACATACCTGCGCTGAAGATCGTAGTGCGGTCCAAGAGAAAGTAGCGGCCATAGCCGCGGAGCTCGGGACACGGAGGAGAGAGGGAGGTGAAGTATAGACGAGGAAGGAGGGAAAACGAAGGTGATGACAGACATAGCTGTGGGTGAACAAAAAAAAAAAAGAAAGAAATACGGCGAGGAAGAAGAAAGGTGAAAGGAGGAGGAAGAAAGAAGAGGTTGGCGAGGAAGAAGGTGCCGGCAGCCATAGCCGATAGAGGGTTGACCGAGGGTTGACCGGGCGTTGACCAGAGGGTTGACCGGGCGTTGACCAGGGGGTTGACCGGGCGTTGACCAAGGCATTGACCGGAGCTGCTGACCGTGACTCTGACCAAGCTGGAGTTGGTATAATCTCGCCAAGCCCTTAGCCTATCCCCTCGCCCTATGGATGTGCACTCACCCTATGGTACTTGCTGAGTCTGAGTCTGTCTGTCTCTTCTTTTTGCATTGAGTCTCTTTTGTCCAGGTGGTAGGACTCCGTGTATGAAGGATAGGGCCTCGTTGACCAAACCCCTGCCGGGCTGAGTAGGGCTAAAGGCTGTGTCTGACGACTCGACTGTCCCGGAGGACACAAACCCTCCCAAGGACCAGTACTGACCGGCGGGCTGCTCGGTGTGGCACGGTAGGCCCGAAATTTGAGTTGTGGGCTGCACAACGGGCCGTCTACGTTTTGAGAGAACCTGCTGATCGCGTTGTCCTGTCTGCGACGTTAAAGAATTCTTGAGGAGTTACGGGGGATCTCCTTAAATGCCTCCTGATCAGCAACAGGTTCTGTAGTGACGGCCGTAGCTTAGAGTCTAGGCTAGTGCCCCTAGTTGACAGGGTCTGAACCGGAGTGAAAGCCAGGTGGGTTTGACCGCAGGTGCTGGGCATTTGGGTCTGGATTGCAAGGATTGTGGTTGCGAACGCTTCCGTCGGCCGTGGTAATCTGGCTGGAACGAAGCGTAAGATTATGTAGTCCATAGAGAGTCAGTCAGTCTTAAGTTAAGTAGGGGGACGTCTAAGTGGTGAGGAGTGGAACCGTTACTTGGTTGTGCATCTATCACCATGGTTGACACGCGTACCGGAAAGAGCACCTCCCCTTACACAGCTGAAGAGGAGGCAAAGGCCGCCGCCATCCTCAAAGAGAGAAGAGAGAAGAAGGAAGTCAAGAAAAAAACCTTGATCGAGGAACAGGTGGCGAAGTTGAGAAAGATTGAGGAGGAGATGGCCAGAGAGACGGAGAGGCTAAAGAAAGAAGAGGAAGAGAAGTTAAAGGCGGTGGACGAGGAGGATGAACAGGAGGTACCACTGGAAAGAAGAAGAAGGGAGCAAAGAAGGGAATCCAGTGGTACACAAACTGATCAGTTGGAGAAGAAGATTTCAGAGTGGGTGGCCAATTTGTCCCTAGGAGAAGATGAGGAAGCAATAATGTATGTGCCCAGGGAAGAACAGGAGGCGGCTATGAAGGAGTGGGAGGCAGAAGAGGACCCACTCAAGCCACAGGTCATAGAAGATGATAAGAGGATGGAGTGGAAGTTCCACCTAACAAGAGAAAGGAAAGCGAGAATGGAAGCAGTGAGTCAGGCGGCAAAAGAGTTGGAGGAGGTGAAAAAGCAGAGAGAGTAGATGGCGGCGAAGGAGGACCTGTTGGGGAAGATGGAAATTATGGCGAGAAATATAGAGCGCCTGACGCAGGCCTAGGAAGTGCACTATCAGTTCTCTAGATATTGCTCTGCGTTCAATACGGCTGGGGTTCAGGGAGTTTGCACGGGAATTAGTGGGCGCGGTGGGCTTAGAGGTAAAAACCCGCCTGGAGAATACGGAGCGTTTTTGCACAGGCGCCATAGAAGGCGCCAGGGTGGCTGTGCCCAAGGGGGAAGAAGTACGCCCTCGTAGAGAGCCTGTCAAAGTCAAGTTTCCCGATTCCTACAGTGGGAAGAGGGAGGAGAACTTTGACAACTGGGAGGCCAATGTCAAAACCTATGTGCACTTGCAAATGGTCTCTCCAGATGAGCACGTTTTAATAGCCATCCACGCCCTGAAAGAGGAAGCCGCCAATTTTGCCCGTTCCCTGGTCCGTGCCGCAAATTGCAACGACGATTTGGTTGCTTATTCTGCCTTCACTCCCCTTAGCGACTTTCTTAAGTTGCTGAGAGAACGGTTTGCAGACGTGACCCGTAGTGTCAAGGCGTCTGATAAACTGCAATCCATCCACTCCCGCTTGTGGAAGAGTGCTAGGGCCCTTAAGGGGGTAATGGATGAGTTAGTTGCCGTCCCTGACCATGGGGTCACTGAGACCCAACTGGTCAATCTCTTCTACCACGCTATGCCCGAACAGTTGCACGGACACTTCTTTGAAAAGAGTCAGCAACCTACCATGACCTACGACGCTTTGAGCAGGGAAGTGGTAGCGTTTGAGGCAAAGTCCGCGTCGGTTTCCACTTTCTGGGACAAGGACCTGGACAAGGGAAAAAAGTGGAAGGGTCACACTATCTCTGGACAGGTTAAGACCAAGGATCGTTTGATCCTTACGTTAGATGAGGGTAGTGTCGACGAGGTCCCCTACGAGCAGATAGAGTGCGGCCTAGATGCGGAGCAAGAAGACAGTGGCACCAGTCAAAGGAGGACTTACGCTGTTGTCGTGGCCGGAGGGAGGCCGCAAGGWAGAGGAGGAGGCCAGGGCCAAGGGGGTCGGGCCTCAGGTGGCCGTTCCCAGGGCGATCAGAGGGTTGGCGGTAGAGGAGGAAATCGCCAAGCGGGAGGAAGGGGTCAAGGTCCCCCGCAAAACCGTTCTGGTAACCGTTCACCTAATAGGGGTAATAGGTCACCCTATAGGAGAGGTGGTTGGCACCCAGGTCTGCCAAAGGGCCGACCTTGGGAGGAATTGGGCCCGGACCAGCGCGTCTGGCAGCAGCGTGTGGATCAGGGGCAGTGCGTATTTTGTGGTGACCCTGGCCACATCATTCAATGTTATCCACAGTATAGAGAGGCCCGATGGGCTGCCTAGCAGGCAAAAGGCAACCACCGGTAGGGGTCGCAATTGCCCCTACCATAAGGCCATGTGGGGAAACGAGCGCGAGCCGGCAAGAAACTCCCACACCACATGAGCCTACGACAGAGGTTGCAGGCCGGTGCCCAGATAGCTGTCCAAAGACTGCTTGTGTTAGAGTCTCTCTAGGCACCTCCCTCACAGGCGTGGCCGATGAGTTGAAGGAGAGAATGCCCGCCTAGGCCAAGATGAAAAAGGAGAGTAAAGGACAACTAGTGTTAGTAGATGTAGAAGTTTTCAGAAGCAGAGTAGGAGCCCTTATAGATTCAGGGGCTACCCGTAGTTATATTAGTCGTAGAGCGCTGAGGAAGCTGAGGCTAGGGTTAAAAGTCCGAAAGTTAGAAGACCCCATAGTAAGTGTCCTCGCAGACAACCGCACTATGCGTGTTAAGGACTACGTAGAGGGAGTCCAGGCGTATTTTTGCCTAGAGAAAAATGGGAAAGTGGAAAAAGTTCTCCATTCCCTGACTCTCCTCGTACAGGATGACCTTCCTTTTGATATAGTCCTAGGTATGGACTGGGGAGAGGCAGCAGGGGCCACACTCCACTTCAGCGAGCATGAGTGTAGGCTCCCTGGCCTGTCAGGCGAGATTAAGATTGCCTGTCTGTTCCATGCGTCAGGTGTAGATAACACCCTGGCACATTGTTGTCTTAGTGCTCCTGCGTTTGCTCGATTGGTGAAAAAGGAGAAATTAGAGGAACAGGTCTTCGTAGTTTACGTCAGGCCTGTTAGTGAGCCTAAGGAAGAGAAACCCATTGACCCAGCTATTGCCAAGCTGTTGGAAGAGTTTAAGGACCTAGCAAAGCCGCCGACAGGAGTAGTGTCGCGGCCGATCCAGCATCGCATAGAGATAGAGCCTGGCAGTAGAACTCCCAAAGGAGCAGTGTACAGGATGTCCCCGCGGGAGTTGGAGGAGTTGCGGAAGCAACTAGACGAGCTTCTAGAGAAGGGTTGGATTAGGCCCAGTTCGTCTCCATTTGGAGCACCAGTTTTGTTTGTCCCCAAGAAGGAGGGAGAGCTTAGAATGTGTATTGACTATAGGGGTCTCAATGCCATTACAGGGAAGAATGCAGAGTCGTTGCCCCGTATAGATGATCTTTTAGACCGGGTGCAGGGATGCAAATATTTCTCGAGCATGGATTTGAAGTTCGAATATCATCAGATAGAGGTCCACCCTGATGATCAGTACAAGACAATTTTTCGGACTAGATATGGGCATTACGAGTTTATAGTGATGCCCTTTGGACTAACCAATGCACCATCGACTTTTCAGCATTGTATGAACGACTTGTTCAGGCTGTGCTTAGATAGGTTTGTAGTAGTTTACCTAAACGATATTCTAATATTTAGTAAGACCCTCCAAGAGCATCAGGGTCATCTGAGGCAGGTCTTGGAGAAGCTCAGAGAAGCTAACTTCAAGATCAATGCGGAGAAGTGTGAGTGGGCGAAGACCCAAGTATTATATCTAGGCCATGTCTTAGACGGAAACGACATCAAACCCGAAGACAGCAAGATCGCAACGATTAGAGATTGGCCTACACCCCGCACGTTGACAGAATTGCAGTCGTTCCTAGGCCTAGCCAACTACTATAGGAAGTTCGTGAGGAACTTCTCCACCATCGCTGCACCCCTTTGCAGATTGTTGAAGAAAGAAGCGATCTAGAAGGGGGACAAGGACTGCACGTTTGCCTTGAAGAAGGTGGCGTTAATAGAGTATCCGATCCTTAAGGTAGCCGATCCGTCCTTACCTTTCGTCATCACGACTGACGCGAGCCAGTACGGCATAGGTGTTGTATTACAGCAAGACGATGGTCATGGATATAGCCTATAGAGTTCATGTCTGCTAGGATGCCTTCAGAGAAGGTAGCGACATCTACCTATGAGAGGGAACTCTACGCTCTCACGCAAACTCTAGAACATTGGAAGCACTACTTGCTTGGGAGGCACTTTAAAGTCTACTCAGACCATGAGACGTTAAGGTGGTTGAAGACGTAGGGTAAGATGACACCTAAGTTGACTAGGTGGGCCGCAGAGTTAGACCGAGCAAAAAAAAATAGCAAAGAAATATAAAAGAATAGAGGTAGTATATATGTTAGACAAAATACCTGATACACTCACTTTTGAATGCGAAACTGGAAATTATCATACTTTTTTGTCCTATTAGTTGTGTAGCTTGGTTATATCAAAAAATTGGCCAGTCAAAGGGAAGTATAACATAGTTGCGGATGCTTTGAGTAGGAGAGCCGACTACTTCGGGGCAATAGTTCACTATCTGGACATAGGGAGAGACCTGCAGTAAAAGGTTAGAGACGAGTATGCACAGGACCCTATCTATAGCGACCTCCTCAAGAGGGTCAAGGAAACCCCAAAAGTCGAACCAGATTACCGCACTACTGGCGGATTACTATTTGAGAAGACTAACATAGTGGACAGATTGTGCGTCCCCAACAGTGAAGAGCTCCGTAGTTTGATCCTAGGGGAATGTCACGATACAAAGGGACACTTTGGTTGGCAAAAGACTCTAGCCAACCTAATACACGCGTACACCTGGCCAGGGACGAAGAATGACTGCATAGAGTATGTTTGCAGTTGTAAAGTTTGCCAAAGGAATAAGACTACTACGCATGCCCCGCTAGGTCTTCTCAGACCCTTGCCTATTTCAGACCAGCCAGGAGATTCAGTGTCCATTGATTTCATGGACACCGGCGTCAAGAGTAGGCATAGTAAGAGCCAAGTCATGGTTATAGTAGATAGATTTAGCAAGTATGCAGTTTTGTTCCGTTGCCTGCGGAGGCAGGTACAAAGTTAAGTAGTTCAAAAGTTCTTTGATCATTAGGTCAGTGAACACGGGATTCCGTTGTCTATAGTTAGCGATAGAGACACCCGGTTCACTAGTCAGAACTGGCTGGAGTTGATGAGAGTATATGGCTCCAAGTTGTTGATGTCATCTGGTCGTCATCCAGAGACTAACGGTCAGACTGAGCAACTGAATAAGCTCCTACAGCAAGTTATGAGAATGTACATTAGACCTGATCAGACTAACTGGGATGAGATGCTCCCAAAGGTAGCCAGTGCCTACAATAACAGCGTGCACTTGTCCACGTGTCGCACTCCCAACGAGTTACACAAGTCTTTTAGACCACGCAGACCGTTTGAGGGACTTAACTGGGATCAGGTTTATAGGCTACCGCCCGGTACTAGGGAGTTTGCGTTACAACACGAGAAGGAGTTAGCTACCGTTGTTGAGAACCTCAGGAAGGCTGTTACATCTTCGACTCACACAAGTCCTACCGGACCCGACTTAGGGCCGGAGGGACACACCAGGGCCTAAAGGCCCGACCTTTGGGGTTACAGGCCCTAAAGGCCTGATTTTGGACCAGCACCCATCGGGTAGGCCCAAACGACACTTCGTTTGGGCCTGGCGGCGCTCTTGAAGTTGTCGCCCGCCGATTGAGGCTGAACCGTCCATCTGGACGGTCCAGGGTCTGGCCTGGCCTCGCAGCATTGAGGCCAGACCATTGCCTACCGGTAT